AAATAAAAAATTTAGAAATTGTCCAATTATAGTTATTATGTTAAACCTTTTCCGAGTTGGGGGGATTCTGCAGAGTTCCGCCCATCTCACTGACTAATTTGAGTATTCCTGATAATCTTCGTGATTATATGATTAAAGTATCACTTAGTACAGAACTCCAATGCCAAACTCACCATCTCACATTAAATAAATATAGTATATTTGTATTCATGTTATTCTTTTAGTTTTAATTCACAAAAAAAATAAGTGAATTTCTTTTACATGTTTAAAAATAATATAAAACGGTTATAACATATATCTTATTCTAAGTAGATAAAAATATAATTTTGTTAGTCTATTAAAAGAGCCACTATATTTGTTTATTTAATCTAATATCTATTTTTATTTAAGTTTTTTATTTCATAACTATTTATCAAACATATGCATTTTAAATGAAATTTACCAATAAGAAGGAATGATTTTAATTACAAATATTTGTGTATACATAGTAATAACATATTTAATATTAATTTAATATTAATTATTTAAAGTAGAAAATTAAGATCCATTTATTCTCTTTCAAATAATGAATACGTTTTGTTAAGTTTTAGAAGCAATCTGATCTTATGAACAAATTTACTGATGATTTTAATGATTCTATGAATCTAACTTACTTTTGTGAGCTTCACAAGGCTGTAATAGAAACGAAAATGAAATGGCAGATAATATACATTTTCAGCAAAAAAGTATATATTGTTATATCTGATCTGATATCTGTTCTGAGTTTCAAAAGGTATAGGCTTGTCAAATTTGGAAACGATTAGGGCTTGATTGACTAAATAATAAAATATTTTTCTTTAAACAAATAAATAAACAAAACTATTTTATGAAATTTTATCCAAAAATATTCAATTGAATAGCAAATATTAATAAAAAAAAGTTTAAGTCGCTTATGTATAGTGAAAGATTTTTGTTGTCAAAATTGCATAAAATTAAATAATAAAAAATAATTTATTATAATTAAATAATAATTTAATTCATAAGTCTTAAAAATAAATATTTTGACAAAAGATTATGAATTTGGTCTAATTGGATATTTACAAAAGGTTGTACTCGTATTAAAAATTTTGCTTATTGGGCAATGAAACTGCCTTTTGAACCACTGTGTAACATCAGACAAGTCTCTCCTTGGGTTAATATTTGCATTTATTCCGAACCATATTCGGAGTAGAAACAGTTAACCCGAATATGATTTGGTCCGAATCTTTGATTTTGGCAGCTACAATACTACTTACATTTATAGTAATCAGCTGAACGAGCTATTTAGGTAAAAATTGAATAGATCTATAATAATAGATGTATATTTTTGACATCAATGCTCCAATAGAACAACTTCTAATTGTGTAAGAATTACTTGGCATCACTGCCTAGATCAGTAAATATATGAGCTTTATCAGTAAACATTGGGCTTTATCTTTACATTATATTTTACATAAGCGTTAAATACTATAAACGGACCACGAAGTATTAGCTTGTTAAAGTGTTATGGTATCCTATGGTGCATCGAAACCAAAGCGAATGCCTGCAAAAGTTCGTTCATTCGCAAGCGTCTGCTTTGGTGTGCATGCACCTTTATGGTACTCGTACATAAGCCTGAATGTAAATTTACTGAATGTTAACAGCAAATGATAATCCATGACGACCACTTTATATCATCGTTTATGATTTTTTTTACAAAAAATATAGAAATTTAAAAACAAAAGTAAACTTTTTACTGATTTTTACTGACATACTGTAAAATGAAATTGGGCAAAGAGAAATTGTTACACTCAAAGTTACAATATGATTTTGTTATCAGTAGCCAAAAACTTTTACCGAAACGATCCAGCTGATCAACCAATTTATGATAATGATGATTGGCATATTTGGCTTAAAAACTGTCTTCAGAATTGTGCGTAAATTCATCAAAGATAATACCAAATCTGTATTGAAATTCTTAGAATTGGATTTGAACATATCAAAAATATAGATTTGTCGTACTTTGATCAAAGTTGGTCCACATTGGTTGACTTACGGCCTAAAAATTTTACAGAATTGTATATTCGGAGGACAAAAACTTCCTTTGCAACATTGTATTTGGTAACGTGATATTTTCAATATGGTCTAACGCCAAAATTCCGACTTCAAAGGTACCAGATAAGCCTAAATCCAATGTTTATTTGATTTTACGTTTTGAAGTACATTATTCCTGTAGGGCTGTAAAGTCAATGATATTTGATATATGACTTAATATGAGCGTAGAAATAAAAGTTGTGTTATAAACATAGATATTTTTAATAAGGCCCAGTTCATAATGGTGCACTAGTGATCGCTCGTTGCATATTTAGAATGTATATCTATTTGACATCTATGACATTTGATACACATCTATCACATATCCATCACATATCAAGCACATAACCATCTGCTACAAAACGATTACTTCTTAATAAGTCTAACTTAAAGTATTTAGCTGTTACATTTTAAAAACTATAATTTCTATTTATTTATAATACAATACAGTGTAATTTTGCAGATTTTTAATATACGTTATGTTATATTCAACAAATATTATATTTATACAAAATATATATTATGAATGTATTTCATTTGTAGTTATTTACACCCTTTTCTATTTACTGCATACATTACTAATAGTATTTATGGGCTGAGTGTACATCACAGCAAAAGCAATAAGGTTACATGTAAGATGTTGACTCATTTATCTACGATGTCAAATGTATATCTCTTTACTTGTCACGACATAGCAAATTCAATGGCACGTGACAGTTTTTATTTGAGGATTTTAACTACCTTTTGTGTCACATAGTACTTACTAAACACGCTCTTGATTATGTTTGACAATCCTTATCATTGCAGTACACAAAAAAGACTTTATGTCTATAAAAATGCATAAATTTTACAACTATATCTGATAAATATGTATATATAACAGTAATTGTGTAGATTTAACTGATATGGATTTTTTGTTTTGCAAAGATTTATAATGAGAAATTTTTATATAATTGAGCAAATTTTATGCGCTATTTAAAGAAGTTTTCAGTGCTTGTACACCAACTCATGCAAAATATTGGTTGTAATTATATATTGTTATAAAAAGAAATGTTCAAATAGAGAAGCTGTATGTAGGAAATCTTTAACGTATCTGATTCTGGCGCTATTGAAGCCCTGCTCAAAGAATTTGTATGTGTATTGGTAAAAAACGAGTTACGTGGTTCAAGGTTCAGTTAGACGGCAGGTAACGTAAGAAATTAATTCAAAGCGAAATGCACAATCAACCAAACTTGTGTGTTTGATAGAAACGAAATAAACAAAGTACACCGTTTTTGTTTATTTCGTTGGTATCAAATACGCAGATTTGATTCGTTGTGCATTTCGCTTCGAATTAATTTCTTACGTTACCCACCGTCTAACTGAGCCTTCATTCAATCAGTTAAATTTTTAACTATTTTTTCCAAAATAAATGTGACCGTATGGCGTCAATATTGGCATGAACTTCAAAAATTGCTGGTTTGTCGGCATAAACCAAAGTCTTGACCTAATCCCATAAAAACTAATCGAGAGGTGTTAAATCGCACTAACGAGAGGGCCAGTTAATAGACCCACTTCTGGAAATAAAGTTCTTAAAGTTGTCAGATTTATTTTTTATCAAAGTAAATTTCCACAATTTGAAATCGTTGTTCTAGCGTTAAACGATGTTGATGAATTCTCAAATCTTACTGAACAGAAATGTCAACACAGTTTTATATTATCAGCTGTTAAACCATAGTTATCAACATAGATAGTTCTCTTGAATTCTCATGAAAGCACTCGATTAGGAAACAACAACTACAAACAAAAACTACAAACTATGTTCAGACACATCTTAATTTCACAAAAATCTTGATTTCATCTTTGATTGAGCGAAATTAAGTTGTTTTTCCATACCAAATTTAATTTTAATGTTAAAACGAAATTAAGGAAAATCGTTGAAACGAAGTCTGAAATTAAGGGACATTTTAAATGCAGCTATGCATAAGATAAATTTTAAACAAAAGATAAGAGATAACGAAAAACTGTCATTTTTTTCAAATAAATGCCAATGACAGTTGACTTTAATAAAACCGTGAAAATATTTTGAAACTAGTGCAAATTTTTTAATTTGAATATAGCGAAAGAACTGTAATTATTATTAATTTAAAATAGAGTGAAAAATAATAATTCACATACCTAAAATCCTCTAAAGCTAATAAAACTACTGAATGTCATCCTTAATAGTTATAATAATCAACTTTTAAAATTTCCCAGATACAAATGGTGTTTGGAGCATGTAATTTTTAACATTCAATTTGTAAACAAAAAATTTGTATGATTTCCTTAATTTGGGAAAAAGTTAATTAATTAACTTTAAATTGTATAAAGTTGTTGAAATAACATGGGAATCAGATAAATGCAGAGAAGTCCGTATTTTAGAATACGCACTATATAATATTATTGGATTACCTTGACAAAGGAAGAAGCTTAAGCTGAAAAGTAAATAAGGTTCTAAGTATATGTGAAAAAACGAAGGAAGAAGTCGTCTCACATTTGCTAAATTAAGTCAATGTCTAGTGCTAGTTCACAGATCTCAAAAGAGTACTCTATGGAATTAGATTTTACTTCAGATTTTGAGACTGAAGTCAAATTGTTCTTTAGTATGACAATGATGTGTTAGGAAAACGATGAAATGATTATATAACTGAAAAAAGCGCCAAAAACAATGACTACAGACTATTTTGGAAAACAGGAAGACTATTTTTTAGTAATTGGTTCCGTAACTTACTGACTAAGGTGTTATTGATTATACTAATTAAGCACATAAACATGCGAATATGTAAATTAATGAACAATAGTTTTTTTTAGGTTTTCTGAAACACAAAAATTTTTATGAATTTGGATGTATACCTTTGATATCTAAAATTGTAAAACCATTATTTATATACCTTTTTTAAGTATTACTTCTTCGGAGTTAATTGTAGAATTACTTAAGACACCAGTAATTTTAGCTCCACCATTTGGAGATGTTCTGCATGAATTGTGATGCGGGCTTGATGAATGGCTTCCATATACAGCTGTTGGAATAGGTGAATCATTACCACTTGGAGGCGGAGAGTACCATGATGTGTTATGAGAATGTGGTGGCCAACACTGATTCGTCGACGTTTGGTTTGATACTAATGAGTGCATTGGATGTGTATGATGTGATGCCATTAACTGTGGTTGTTGATGATGATTTTTCAATATTCGTAGTTTATCGTACACAGGAGCAGACTGAGGAATATTATTAGACTCACATCCATTACTTTCAATTGAATTTATTTGAGATGTTCCTTGCATTAAGGCATTATTTAAAATATTTGATGATGTCGATGTGCAACTATTTAATAAATCTCTATTTTTAGACGATGGCGTTTGTTGCTGTTGCTCTTTTTGTGCTGCTAAATTTCGTAAAACCCGATTAATTGATGAAACCTATTTAGAATATAGTATTAATAAATAATTTTGAACTGGTATTTTTTAAGCATAGATAAAAATTTAATTAAATTAATTCTATTCTGATTTTCCCCTTTTTACTGTAATCTAAAATGTAAAAATGTAACATTACGAATATTTTACAAATATGTAATGCAAAATTTTATTAAAAAACCAAGCTAAGGCTACAAATAACAAAAGCTGTAAATACAAATGAGTTTGTTTATTTACAATACTTTTGACTAATTTATATACTATAATTATATTAGCATATAGTATGTTTGATTTTTGATTAAATATTGATTATTTATTTCATGGTTGTTATTTATTATTCACTATTTAGAGGCATGATTAAGTAGTTTCATAGTTTCATTTCTAGTTAAGTTAGATTTATAAATTACTGGAACATTAATAAGTCAAGTAGTGTGCTAATGGATCTTATCTTAATATCTAATTATACGACGTTCATATAATTTATTCCATTGGATAACAAATCTAATGAACGCGCATTGTTATTTGTTAATTAAGTTAAAGATCCAGCTAGAATTGTGTAATACTGTCATATGCAAGTGATATTATAGAATATACTGCCAATGATAGTATCTACATTGATTTCGTGCAAGCCTACATCTGCAGTCTATTTAATAAATTAATCTATGCACTTGTTGCAATAGCAAAATGTAAATGCAAATGATCCTAGCGATCAGATTAGATTGATATGGATTAATGCCAAACTCAAAATTCATATCATATCAAGGTTGATATGGATTAAATTGATGTCTCAAAATTTTATCAAATAAATTTTTTTTACTTTGGATTCTTATTCGTTGACATGCAGATTTTTTTTTAACAAATTGCCAAACATTAAAATCCTTGTCATCGCTGTGTCACAAGACGTCACCACAGATTTGATTGTACGATAGCTATTTATATGTTCCGATGCTTTCGTGTGTGGTAAGTTTCGGACGTCGCATACAGATCATTAACATACAGATGTTTTTTCATATTCCGCACTTGACACTATTTTTCTAGCCTATCTAACATTTTTTTTGCAAAACCTGTCCTTATTCTGAAAGTACCACAATATCTTTACCGTGTAAGAGAAGTCAAAGATTTTTTAGCTACTTGCAATCCCACTTCTCTGTAATCATGTAAATCATTTAAAAACATAATGAAGACTTGCCATATTAGTCACTCTGCCTTACTTCTATTCTTGACTATAATACTTGGAACTTTTTACTTCATTCTATAACAGGGTCCTTTAATAGTTAGAACTTTTCGCCTCTGTTTGGATTTATATGCTTTTTGGAT